AAATCTTACCCTATCTTACAACGAGAATGATTTAAATATTTTACTTGGCGCTTTCTCAAACTTTTTGTCATTCAACATTTAGTTGCGGAATTTTGAATTTGGTTACTTCAAATGTTTTAAACTGTCGGTTGTACCGACTACCTCAATCAAATGGGTGTGTATGGACGTTCGCAGGTGAAATAATTGCGGGCGTGGGCATAAAAAAAGACGTGGTTTTTACGACCCCATTATTGTAATAGGAACTTTTTCGTTCTTGCACATCGAATTTTGAATAATTCGGCTATTTTCCGTTAATAAAATGCATTCATAATTAAACGAGTTAACAGGACACAAATGCCTGTTTTACGGTACCTTTTCTTGCACTCGGTAGACTTGATGCACTTGGGTGAGAAATTCTTCCACTACCGACGAAGACTTCCCGAAACCTTTTGCATACTGCGCTACGTAAATACGAATGAAGACCTGTCGCCGCGCTGTGATTGGATAATGCTGCGATATCGAGATTTCGCTTCGGAAAGCTACCAGAAGATAGTTGACCACCTTTTGTCGAAAATGTCGACTGCTTTACGACGAGAAAAGCCCACTACGCATTGAGAATGTTACTGTTATGTAGGTCCCGTTGTATTGAGATAAGGATTAAGGACGTTACACCCATTACGGATAACGCGGCGGCGCATATAAATACGAAGTTCGCGCTTTTTTTAATTCAGAAGCGTAACTTATATTTCAAATTTGATAGAAAAATCTCAAAAACTGCAGGAAAAAACTTAAAAATCTTGAAATTTGAATAAGTACTCTGTAGATCGGCAACGAAGCGTTTGCGGACCTATATGTTTATATTAACTTTTAGTCATAAAATAAGCTAAAGACTTAACCCCTTCCATATTTACATCATCATCATTTACACGTACGATTATAAATTACGCAACGGTAATGTTTAGAAAAATAGATACAATTTTTGTTTTCTTGGAAATGTACGATAATCCATTTTTATGTGGGCTTTTAAAAAGAATAGGTACGTTTAATTCACTTAGAAACGTCGGTTCTTTTCACGATAAGAACTCACAGCCACAAATATCAGAAGGAAAGACAATTCAAAAAAACAACTGTTGTTAAAATTCCACGAGTCGCGCACTGGTAACCACGGTCACACGAACACGCATTTTTAGTTAAATTTTGTTACTATGCCACGGACTCTAACGCAAATTCTTTCGAGTTTTTTTAAAGATCACGCAATACGGTTGATACTACCGTGATCAGAACGCGAGTTAATTAACAGCTTTAATTAAAAAAACCTGCGAAATGGCGAATTGTTAACTTAAACGGCCATCTTTAATTGTAAATTCGTTACTTCATTCCCGCCCTATGGATCAAACAGGCACTGGAGTAATAAATTAACTCCCACTTATTATGTGTTATGCTAGATGTACAGTTTCTACGCTGCTGAAGTGATATCATGCCGAGTTAGCAGTTGTAACTAAACAGCCCTAATTACGATGACTGAATATGATTTAAATTCCCGGCATCTGGTTACCGAGATTTACGAAAATCCATTAGTAGACAATGCTTACAGAAATCAAACGACAAGACGGGCTTGATTTCCACCACGGTTTACGAATACCATTCCACTAAATGAATCCTATAGATTTTCTATGGTATTTATTTATTTATTTTGAATATTGAGCAAAGGTTTTGCGAATTTTTTTTAACATTGCTGGCATATACGGGGTGGTGACTTGACGAACGCACCATAGGAATTTCCGATTATTGGCTCCCCTAATATAATTATTTTAGAAATAAAGTTTATTTAGGTTTTTTGGAGAGAAAAAAATTATGAATCCGTACATACAATTGATTCCAATTTTATAAACTCAGAAACAGCAAAAATTTAAAAATTAAAAACCATAGCACCACTGATTTTCTTAAAACCACAAGTTTTAGTTATCCAATTTCTTAGTTTCAAAGTTCAAAAAATTAAAAACTATAGTATGCATGGATTCGTAATTTTTTTCTTTACAGAAAACCGAAATAGACTTTATCTCTAAAACAATTAGAGAAGCCAATAATCAGAAACGAAAACATACTATCGAAATTCCTATGGTGCGTTCTTTAAGTCACCGCCCGGTATGTATCTCCGGGTCACCTTTTTCTGATTGGAAGCCATTTCTCTAATCTTCTTGATCTGGTTTCGGTGTAGGTATCAATGCCGTACTTTTTTAACCGATTTTCTTACCAAACGATTACCATCCGTAATCCGTAATAAAAAGAGTTTATCCATTTCAACACATTCGTACATCGTCTGTATCTTCTATAGCACTTGCAGCATCTTAAAGAGCTAAATAATTTTCAAAGCAAAACTCTATAATGTAAGAACCATCAGCATCAGTTAGTTTGTTTTATTATGCCATTTAGGTTTTCCTCCATCCAGCACATTTTTGTGTGGCAGATCAGTATTCTATTAGTCCGTTTTGTCATCACCATCAGTAAGATCTTGGCAGGGGCTACCACATTCCCTTCACAAAATAGTACTCAATTTTTAGGGCACTTCTCATAGTTCGAGCTTCTATTGGCGACACGGGAAGGAGTGATCGCTATTCGAACTCTAAGAAACTTTTGCGCGCCTCAAGTCGACTACCCTTCGAAGATGCGCGCCTTGCAAAAGGTAGTTAATTTCGCCCATAGGAAAAAAAAACGAAATTCCGCAGAATTGTGTGCGTTTATAAGATCTTGACGATGACACCAATTTGATAACAATCGGACCAAAAATGTAGAAGAAGATAGGAAAAAACTGTAAAATCACCACGTCAGTGAAACGCGCTGGGGTACGGCGCCCAGATGTCGTCGACCCCACATCATGTAACACCGTCCCTAAAGCACGCATGTACACACCTTGTATTTCTACAAGCGTTCTTCCGCGGACTCGCATTTGCTGCAAGCCAGCCGGCCAAAGAGAGATTAAAAGCTATCTTTTTACATATAAATTTGCAAAAATGCCCAAAAATTATTTAGGGATTTATGATTCATACTGTATGCTTAGGTTACATTTGTATCCAGCTTGGTACTATAAAGGAGAACATAATTCATGAATTTTGAGTGGTTCAAAGTACGTATCTATACCCTACAGCTACACCATTGCCTACAAATAGAAATGTATAGCAATAATTTTTTATTATACCTGAATCACAATCTCCGTTTTAAACACTCAAATGCGAGCGAAAAAGGGCCTTTAAAACACACGTGCTTTAAAGTTGCTAAGTAACGATACTTCAAGTATGACTTTTGAAACTGTCATCTGGATGAAATAAAAAATCCTCTTAGGTCGCTTTCTGTAAATGCAGAACATTTCTTTGGCTTTTGTACCTATCCTTTGGTTGAAGCTTTTACAAACGCGCGTAATTTAGGGTATGCTTCCAAATCTGTTCCACTTTTTAATCGCAGCATTGCTTTAAAGTTTTGAATGAATGCACCAAAATATAGAAGATTTAAATACCTTTGACATTTCCTTCATATATGCCAGCATTATGGATGCATTTAAGACTGTATTCGTAAGTAACTTCCTATTCATCCATGGAAACAACTTTTCATATTCTTTATAATAGGCTTTACTGGAGTTGGATTTTACACCTACCAACGTTTGTTTAGATTTTACAACAATCGATTTAATGGACGGTGTATTATCTTTTTCAACGGAAATCGTTTAATTCACAAAGACGATGATTTTTATAAGCAAACGTCAAGTGACATTTCCATGGCAATCGTGAAATTACGAACACCCAGCCCACTTAATTAGACATGTATTCGAGTATAACGTCAATATGACTTCATTGTATTTCCTATTTTTAAATTATACTGCAGGTATAATAAAAAATACTATAAGATACACGTGTATAATTGGTCTTTAAAGCACTTGCAACGTTAAAGGCACTCCACTTTGCGTCGTGCCCTTAAACTCGTTGCGCGTGCTTTAAAGACTTGATTATACACTTGTATCTTAATATACTAATACGGATGTTCCTAAAAAATGAAGCATACTGCTTCTTTTAATCGAAAATGAGCATGTAGGAAGTACGCAAAGATTAGCAACATAATTACGTTATTCTATTTCCTTGTCAAAACCTGAAAAAATCGAGATTCAAACATGCGCGCTTTTAAGTTTATCAAAAAGTGTACCTACACGCACTGTTTATTTTACAACAAAAACGTTTAAGCATGCGGTAAAAACTTTTTTTTCACTACTAGCGTCTGATGACATGATTATTAACCTTTTTTCCACTTGTAAAGTAGGCTTTCTCGGCATTTGTTCAAAGTGGTTAATAATTTTTTATTATTAACTAGTAGTCAATAATGAGAACTGTCACGCTGTCACTTTTAGAAAACACAACCCGAAATTTCGCTCAATGAACGTTTAGACAAGTTCTCTAAAACGAATAATTGCCACCATTCGCAATTTCCAGAGAAATTACATACCTAAAATTATCACATTTTGAAAAAAATCGAACGAAATTACTCTTTGAAAAATCTCAATGACAGAACAAAATACGGCCTGTTTGACTTGTACTTCCACGTACTTGATTGACATGTTAATTAAGAAACAAAAAATTCTGTCCAACCGTTCACTTTCTTATCAATATAATATGTTAATTTAGAGGACTTCAAGTGCTAGTAGTGAAAAAAATAGTATATATACCACGGTAGAGAAGTCTATTATTGCCTTCGCACCTTACACCCCTCGGCGCAAGCGCCTCGAGATGTAATCTTGGTGCTCAGGCAATAATAGTGGACTTCTCTACCTTGATATATAATGTACTATTATTATGGTTAGCGGTTAGCGGTAAGGGGATACTGCCGAGTTTTTAAAATACTTGTGTCGACGATGTCCCGTGACTCGCTTTCGTTGTACATTGGGCCACCTAATCATAAAATCATTACCATTTCTACTCCTATTTATACTATACTATTTATTACAGAAATGCCTCATTTAAAACAATTTTTTGTTCCAGACGTGGACAACATTAAACAAATGCCCAAAATATGGCAACATCATTGCAAACGCAAGACGGAGATTTGATTGATCTTAACGTAGGATCCCCAGTTTTGCAGGGAGTGTTTTCTGAAGGTGTAACGGAATCTCCTTCCGATAGCTTACTGGACTCCGAGTTACCCGTACTGGAAAAAAAATTAAAGGTGGCAAGTGAGATTGTTCCTCAAGCATCAACATTTTCTTACGTGGACCTTGAGGATATTTTGATAGCCATTGACGAGGACGATGACGTGGGGGAATCATCGGCAACACCCACATTATCTGCAAGTAACAGTAAATTACTATTCGAAATTAAAGAGAGCGATGCCGAGGATTTAGAAAATTTAGAGGTGTTTGACATATTAACGAAATTAGATGAACTGTTAAATGACACTTTGGAAAAATCTGGCATTGGTTGTGACGAATCATTTGATGGGTTGAACGAATTGGAGCTAGAAAGTAAAAGCATAGAAGACTGTTTAGAAGATCTCGATAATTACTTAAAAGAAATAGATGCGAGTAGTTCAGGGAGTCAAGATACTTCAACCGAATCGGATACCCCCGGAAGCTTCGAAGAGAGTCAGACAAGTACGGTACTGAGCTCGTCATCGCCTCTAACCGATGAAGCTGCTGAATTATCGCCCGAATGCGGTCATGTTAATTTAGCTTACGAAGATACGGAGGATTTATTACCACTATTCAGGAGTAATCCATTAAGGGCTACTATTGCAGGCATAAATAGGCCGGCGTTACAACGAAATACAGTAAGGCGCCGGTCACTCGAATCGCCTAGTTATTGCGCATCTGTTCATATTTCCGGAACAGCAGGTGATTTACCAACGGAGGTGCATTCAAATAATGTGCACGAGTGCCGATCATATCCACCTGGAGATTGCTCTACCGGAACTGTTGTGGTCGAGTTTACTCGTAACTCTGACAATCATGAAAGCTCATGGTTGCGTACATCTATGCGCCGCATTCGTCACCTGAGACTTCCTAGTAACGAAACACATGGTGCAACTGAGACCACTGTTTCGGAAGTTAGTGAAATGGTACCTGCACGTGTTGAGGTTTCTCAATCTCACACTTCCGCAACAGAAGCTACGACGACTGTGCGCCCGTTTAGTGCTCCTTCCAGGCTGACAAATGCTGCAACACAGTCCTCGGTACGAACGACACGAGACTCTCGAAGAAATACAGTAAGAGCAGCTGGAGCTCGCAATCTTGGCACGTCACGTTCGAGAAGACAGAGAAGTTTATCTTCCAGTGAATCTAGCTTAACTTCTAGTGTATATACCACCCCCAGCTGCACGCCTGCACCAACACCTACAAGAAGCAACCAGGAAGTTACAGTAACGGCCAATGTCAGACGGTAAGACAAATTTTACTTTTTTAGATACGATTGACGTGTTTATTAACTGTACAAATTAAAGCATAATAATCGAAAGATAACAATGGTGGACTAGCTATTATTTACCGCTTCGTTAAGTTTCGTCAACAGAGATGCTACAAATATGATGAAATCATTACAGTAGTGATTGTATACGTGCCCCAAAATGAAGAGCATTTATAAAGGATCTGTATTGTTAAACGACCTTTATGAATATTTATATGGTTTGGGCGATTAACACTGTTTAAGCTTTGATGCGCATCTTGCACCAAGTGAAGGGTAGCTTTCTAATTCAGTTTCTTTTTAGTGGATATTTGTCTATTATTTTGTCAGTTTTGCATTGAAATTCTGGCAGCAGCGTCGGGTCATATACTTAGTTGTTCGTATTGCATAATCAGGTATTAATTAGTATGATAGCCGCTTATATGGTCTCGTTACTGTAGCAAATGGGGACGAGGATTAGTAGTAAATAAACACCTTTAATTTTGATAATCAGTGGCACCAGTAATACTGGTTTTATAGAAAAACTGCACGCATTTTTGGCATTATGTATGATTTGGACGTTCCACTTTTCCACTGTGGACTGTACAGAATGCTCCAAATTTATGACAATCTCGTTATTTACACACCGACAGATATTCTGTGCCATTTACGGTGTTTCGTGACTTTAATCATAGAGTAACGTTATTTACTCCATGCTTTAATCAAACACCTGCATACAAGTTCAGAGGTTTGAATTGCTCATCGCGCGATAGCGAGTTATCTGAACTTCCATTAACTCTATAAAAAAGAGCGCCTGGAATCCGACCTGTCTCATTACAGACCTCTTTTATTGCGACATTTTGGGAACCGAAGGTCACATTAGGTTTAATGGACGCCCGCACTCTGGCGGGGTTATTCTTGAATTGAATTCTTGAAACGTAGCAAAGTGGTGACATTAAATTTGATATGGTAGGTACTGTCTATGCTCAGTTTCAATATCATGAAATTCGGTTCATAAATGACCGAGATGACAGAAAGGCACTGTGAATGTTGAATCGATTAGGATCAGCTTTTGGCTTATGCCCAGTTTGAATTTCGCGCAATACGGTTCATAACTATCGGAGATGTTAAAAGGGCCTTCCTTTTTTGAGCCTACATTGCCAATTCACGAACTCCGATCTACAAGTTTGTTAAAGAATCCACCTGAAAAATTTCAACATAATTGGTTTTATTACCCGTTATCTTTTAAATCGATGGACATGAAGCCATCGAGCGAGCAAGAGGACGAGAGAGCGAGTGAGCGATTGGACGATTGGGAGAAAGCATATAACCTCAAGAACGATAACTTGCTGACAAATACGCAGATAGTGATCATTGATCATGAACAAAATCGACTGCGTATTGGCTGTTGACTTTCTTTCTTCATATGGTTTTAAACAGTCCAAAATTAATAACGGGACGTTTCAAGTAGAGATGCAACGGAGGTATGATTTTGCCGGAGGCCGGAGTCAGTAGCTTCGGCCGAAAAGCCGGAGCCGAAGTTACTGCCTCCGGCCGGAGGTGACAATCTGTCAGAAAAGTCGTCGTTTCGTTTCGCTTTTATGTACCCGAATCCTCCTAGTAGCGTGTATAGCGAGCAAACTTTCTCCGAAGCGGGAAACATCTATGAAGATTAGCGAAACAGGTTACACCGAGGAATGCTCAGAAATTAATATTCATCCACCACAATTTACCAAAAGTTTGTTATGAATATTAAATAACGAATATGCATATTGTGGTCCCTTTTTCCCTCGCTTTTTCCTAATAAATAAGAAAAAATTGAAATGTTTTTTTTTCTTTTTTTGTTACTGCCATCCTACTGCCATTTCAAGCCGGAGGCAGTAACTCCGGTAATGTAGCCGGAGTCAGTAAGTTAAGCCGAAGTATAGCCGGATCTCCGTTGCATCACTAGTTTCAAGGGATAGTTAGAAAATTCCTTTTCGATATCAAAACTCTCCTTTGACAATTTTAATTTTACTTACCATCGGTTGTCTATCCTACCACATCTAATTATAATGCACTTCCCAAAATTCATAAACCTAGTTATCTCATGAGACCTACGAGTATATGAAGACTATATCGTCGAGACTATCGTATACCCAGCTAGCTTAATTTGATTTTGAAAGATACGCTAAACTTCTAATTCCTCAACTCCACAAAAGACTCCCTGTCCCTTGATATTTAATTCCAATATTTTATTACCTCTACACCCTATATAATTAACATTGTTGATGTATTTGCCCTGCAGAAGTGTACGATAACTTAAAAAGAAGTAAATTTTAAGTATAATTGGTAACATGGCTACTATATCAAAATTCAAATGGAAATTTTATTTGGTCGATAGTTATAACTGATATCTCAAAGGGGACCTTATCAATTTTTTAAGTAATATTTACTCTAATTGCTTGTATTAGGGCCGATTCTACAATGCAGGTATATACAGAGAATAAGCTCTACCTAGAATAAACGTCGATGGTTGCATTGGTTACCATTGCATCAACCACTAGGATACATGTGGCTATGGCAGTACCTAATTGTAGAACCACACATCTTTACAGCACACGGCATACAAGTTTTCCAAATAAGTATTACATGACGAATTTTTCCATTTTGTTGTGTATCAACCATAGGTATGTATATTTTATGTTGTCGCATCTACAGTACATTGATTGCTCTTTTAAAACATAGGGATTGCATTAAAAAACAAAAGTTGCCTCCAATACAGTGCGTATAGGTGCTTGATATTTAAGCTCCTTTTACTGGAAAAAAAGGATTAAAAATTTCCTAATAGTTTTAGCGATTTTTTAAGTTTCTTTCGATCAAATCTGGTGTGATGGAAAAGGAAATTCTAATATGAGGAAAATTGCCACTTTAATGGTGTACGTAACTGTCAATTAATCACTGGCCCAACTTGATTACCTATTAATTATTTATTAGGAAAGACACTAACATTGCACAGAAGCGTAACTGTTTACTGTCGGATTGATACTTATTAAACGATTGGCAATTTGTTAATTATTTACAGAAATACCTGAAATACTAAACAATGCGCCATTAAAAAAGAGAAAAACCGTGACAATGGACCGCTTTATTTCCGCTCTATTTGCACTTGCATTTTAAGGTTATGTAAAATCTGAAAATTCACAGAACATACTTTGTTAGCGCGAAAATCAACTTGCCGTGAGAAACTAAGACTTACCTACCTGTATTGTTTAATCTTCCGTTCCAATGGCAGTCATGTACCTATTGTTGTGCACTAGTCTTGCGTAATGTGACTTCACGTCTAGTATTCTATAACGTTAATGTAAAGTATGTTAATGTAATTACACAATTCAACTCCTGACCTCTTTGCGTAAATGCCACATTTTTATTGCATGGGTTTGCTAATATCCCCTCTAAGGTACTTAGCCATCAGACTACATCTCTACAAGATTTTGCAAATTTGTATTTGATTTTCTAGGGGCCCCCTAAAATTATAGCTAAGGGCGAGTAAAGGAGTACCTACCTACTCCGATTAGTAAGAAAGTAGTAACGTACCTACTATTGCAAAACATGAACGCAATTACGCAAGTATCGCACCAGTTCTACCTAATTAAGATAAGGCAATTAATAGAAATGAAATTACTGAAATCTGTGTAGCAATGTCACATAATCATTGTTCATAAATTGTACCTCATTCGAAGTTTCCTTCTTTCTAAGTATAAACATGTGCCAGTGAACGTCTCAGTAGCCTTTGATGCGTGAGTAATATATTCAATTTCAAAGTTAAAATCTATCAAATTTGAAATTACTGTAGATTGAAATTGACAAGATTAAGGAAGTAATTTATTTTGGGGTTAGTCGATGGAAAAATTAGTCGTAAGAGTACTATTTGATTCATGACAAAATTGGTATCTAATGACCTGAAATTAATTGGTAAACTTCGTTTCTACGAAATTGGGGTCAGAACTTCAAATAGTGGCAATCAGACGCTAGTTTACGATTTACACAAAGCGCATTTCTATATATGAACAAATACTTGTTGAAAAAAATCTCTCCCCATCGAAATTTATAGCAAAATGACTTTTTTGGAAGACCATAATACCACAACACTGTGTTTCTTTTTAAAGTGCAATGTTTTACCGTTTCCATGAAAAATTGGTGTGCTATTTGGACAGAGAATAATTAGTGGGTTATTGTCTACTTCTGAATGAAATTTGCCGCCTACTTATGTGTTTTCCATTCACTTTACCAGAGGAGCTTTATGTCAAAGTTTCAAGAAAATCTTTAACGAGGAAGATAAATACGACGGATGTGTATAAGCTTTATTGACGTTAGTTTGATCACTACTTACAACTTCCTTTTTTGTAGATACCCACTTTTGACACTTTGCGTTCAAGTTTTGACCAACACTGTTGTGTGTCCATTTGCTCATGTGTCATGTGTCTACTGTCAAAACTTCGCGACATTAGAAAGTTAGCCTTGGGACGATAGATGAACTACCCGATAAGTAAACAGTATAAGATTAGAGATTTTATGTTTCAAAGTGGTGTACGTAAGCAGATCAAATTATCGTTTTCCTCATTCGTCCCAACAAAATGGGTGCGTCAGAATTTTGGGAAGAACAGTATCAATGAATGGCTCGCTACATATATTTAAGTAAAAATTACGTCGTCTCCATAAGCAATCTGTTTGACCGGTTACCCAATGAAATTTAGGTTAATGTCAACAATTTTGGGCATCTTCTGGCGAAGAGTAAACTGGATAGGTGCGACTTAGTCTTAGAGAAATTTAAAAAGAGAAAAAAAAACTTACCGAGGGGGAATGGGGTACGCTAAGAGATCCTCGTTCTATTCTTCATAAAGCCTTTGAATATAATTCAAAGATAAAGCTAAGAGCGAGGCTAAGAGAGTAGAGAAATTGAATGGGTTGAACATAAACAATAACTTGAAGTCAAAGAATTACAGAAATCGATTGCAATTTAATTCAAAGAGTACAATAAAAACTTAAACAAAGGG